CTGCCTCTCTGCCCCACAGGCCCCAGCACTGCCCCGACACTGCCCCAGCGCCCTGTCCCAGGGACTCCCGCCCCACAGCCTGCCCCAGCACTGCCCCGACACTGCCCCAGCGCCCTGTCCCAGGGACTCCCGCCCCACAGCCTGCCTCAGCACTGCCCCAGCATTCTCTCCCAGCGACACCCGACCCACAACTGCCCCGACACTGCCCCAGCGCCCTGTCCCAGGGACTCCCGCCCCACAGCCTGCCCCAGCACTGCCCCAGCGCCCTGTCCCAGGGACTCCCGCCCCACAGCCTGCCCCAGCACTGCCCCGACACTGCCCCAGCGCCCTGTCCCAGGGACTCCCGCCCCACAGCCTGCCCCAGCACTGCCCCAGCGCCCTGTCCCAGGGACTCCCGCCCCACAGCCTGCCCCAGCACTGCCCAGTAATTCTCACCCCACAGCTATACTGACATTTGAGTGATGTGATACTGCAGTTGCACTGGGTCCCTGGAACATGGGGCCCTGGCTCCTCTATAGTGGCACCTAGGCCAGGGTAGAGAGATTCCCCTGCTCCATTGGCAGGGGTTTCTTGCAGCTACTGATGTTTCTCTGCTCCCCACATCTGCCCGGTCGGCCCATCTGTGACAGGGTGGTGCATTGCTCGTAGGGTCCAGGCCTGCAGGCACTATTGACCAGCGGGGGCATGTATCCTGGGGTCAAAGTGGAGGAGCAGGGTGCTGCTGGGGCATGAAGGGTTCATGTGTCCTTTGCTGCAAACACAGACGTCTCTGCCCCCGAGGTGCACTGGAACTCAGAGGCCCGTCCTGGTGCTTGTGAGGACGCTGAGCAATGGGGAGAGGGTTACAAAAGAGCCAGAAGACAAGTAAAGGCCTGCAGAACCGGAGAGGTACAGGCCCTCCTGGAGTGGACTGAGTTATTGACTCCAGTCCTTGGCTAGCCCAGGCCGACCTGTTCGGTAATCCTGCTCGCAAACTGACCCACAGCTGCTGCTGAGCTAATTGGGAGCTCTGGCTGCATTGCTTACGGGTCTCAGAGGGGCGGGCCTGGGAGTCTGCGTTAGCAAAACCAACACCTGAAAGACTAACAAACACCTAATGGGGAAGGCTCCCTGCAGGGGGTTCCAAAGAGGCTGGCGAGGGGCTGGTCTCAGTGGGGGCAGGTGGCAGAACGAGGGGCAATGGGCTCAAGTGGCAGTGGAGGGGTGGGGGTCTAGCTTGACTATTGGGACAACCTATTTCCCTAGGCGGGTGGGAAGCCCTGGGCTGGGTTCCCTGGGGCAGGGGTGGAATCTCCATCCCTAGAGGTGTTTAAGGGCTGGACAAGCCCTGGCTGGGATGATTGAGTTGGGCTGGTCCTGCCTTGGGCAGGGGGCTGAACTCGGTGACTCCTGACGTCCCTTCCAGCCCTGGGATTCTAGGATTTTTGTACCAGAGGGGTGGCCATGTTAGCCTGAATCTGCAGAACCAGCGAGAAGTCTGGTGCACCGTGCAGACTGAGGGTACGTCTACACGACAGCGCTAATTCGAACTAACTTAATTCGATTTAGTTAATTCGAACTAAGCTAATTCGAACTAGTGCATCTAGACCTAAAAACTAATTCGAATTAGTGCATCTAGACCTAAAAACTAATTCGAACTAGCATTTTGCTAATTTGAACTAGCACGTCCACATTAAGTGGACCCTGAACCGGGGTTAAGGATGGCCGGAAGCAGTGCCGGCAGGGCATCAGATTAGGACTTAGAGCGTGGAGCTGCTGCCTCAGGCTAGCCGAGGGCTGTGCTTAAAGGGACCCGACCCCCACCCCGGACAGACAGTTCTCAGGGGTTCCCCGCTCGCTTGTCTACCTCGATGAGGGACAGCAAAGCAGTCCTGGCTTGGAGTGCCCTGAGTGCCCGCACTCGGCACATCACAGCACTCGGCCATCAGCCCGGCTGCACTTGCCGCAGGCTGCCATCTGGGGGGGTCAGTCGGGGGGCTGCAGGAGAGCTTCCACCCTGAGGAGCCCGCAGAGTCACCCCAGTCCTCCCCATCGGGGGCTCGTACGCCATTCTTCCCTCACTTCCTTCCACTTACCCCTCCCTGGCCCCGTTTCCTGATGTAAAAATAAAGGACACGTGTTCAAAAATAGAAACTCTCTTTATTTAACAAAACTTAGGGGGGGGGATTAACCTCTGGGGAGACTGGGAAAAAAAGGTGGAAGAAGGGAAGAGAGAGGGTTAGGGTGACACAAAGTTGGGAGCTATTGCCAATTCAGAAAAGGATCGGGATATCATACAGGAAGATCTGGATGATCTTGTAAATTGGAGTGATAGCAATAGGATGAAATTTAATACTGAGAAGTGTAAGGTTATGCATTTAGGGATTAATAACAAGAATTTTAGTTATAAGCTGGGGACACATCAGTTGGAAGTAACGGAGGAGGAGAAGGACCTCGGAGTCCTGGTTGATTATAAAATGACTATGAGCCGCCATTGTGACATGGCCGTGAAAAAGGCTAATACGGTCTTGGGATGTATTAGGCGAGGTATTTCCAGTAGGGATAAGGAGGTGTTAGTGCCATTATACAAGGCATTGGTGAGACCCCATTTGGAATACTGTGTGCAGTTCTGGTCTCCCATGTTTAAGAAGGATGAATTCAAACTGGAACAGGTACAAAGAAGGGCCACTAGGATGATCCGAGGAATGGAAAACCTGTCTTATGAAAGGAGACTCAAGGAGCTTGGCTTGTTTACTTTAACCAAAAGAAGGCTGAGGGGGGACATGATTGCACTTTTTAAATATATTAGAGGGATAAATACCAGGGAGGGAGAGGAATTATTTAAGTTTAATACCAATGTGGACACAAGAACAAATGGATATAAGCTGGCTAGTAGGAAGTTTAGACTTGAGATTAGATGAAGGTTTCTAACCATTAGAGGAGTGAGGTTCTGGAACGGCCTTCCAAGGGAAGTAGTGGGGGGCAAAAGATCTATCTGGTTTCAAGATTAAACTAGATGGGTTTATGAAGGGGATGGTTTGATGAGAGAACGATCTTGGTAACTAATTGACCATTCATTATCAGTGGGAAATAGGTCAATGGAGGGATGATAGGAGTTACTATAGAGAACTTTCTGGGTGTCTGGCTGATGAGTCTTGCCCACATGCTCAGGGTTTAGCTGATCGCCATATTTGGGGTCGGGAAGGAATTTTCCTCCAGGGTAGATTGGCAGAGGCCCTGGAGGTTTTTCGCCTTCCTCTGTAGCATGGGATACAGATCACAGCTGGAGGATTCTCTGCATCTTGAGGTCTTCAAAGTATTTGAAGGCTTCAATATCTGAGATATAGGTGAGAAGATTATTCTGGGAGGGGTGGGTGAGATTCTGTGGCCTGCACTGTGCAGGGGGTCAGACTAGATGATCATAATGGTCCCTTCTGACCTTAAAGTCTATGAGTCTATGAATTTGGTTGTTTGCACTATTTTAATTTTTAGCCTAGTAGAAGACAATTTTCCTGAATGAAAAGTAAGTATAAAGACACCAACTCAAAATATTTTTGCAAGTGTCACTGTTTCTCATAAAATTCCTTTTCTTTTGCATTTATAATTCTATTAAAAACTTCTCTACCACATCTAAAGTCTGAAGAATATAGACAGTGTCCAATGACCTCACTTTAACCAAAGCTTAAGTAACCAATTGCTTGAATTGAAAGAGCTTGGGGTGTGTGTGTGTGTCTGTCTTTCTGTCAAACTCCAGGTGGGGCTGTTTGGAAATCCTGCAGCTAGCTCTCTGAGGCAAGTGAGGGCCTCACTTTTGTTACAGACCTCACTTTTGTACCCAGAATTTGTTCTAGCTACCATGGGCAAAGTGGTATTGTATGATATACTTCAGTCACTGCTTCATTTTTCTATATGG